GAGCATTTGTAATTAATAATACGTCTCTGTATTTGGGGAGCAGTTGGCGGGACAGAGCTGATTGGTGGTCTGGACGGAAAACTCCACCTGCAGTTCTTCTAACCGTTCCCTCACAGAGATCCCCCTGCCCCTGCCTCCTGAATGCTGGGGTTAAACGTGAAACCTGAACACCACCACCAGGCTTTCCCAAGGGCTTCCAAAGACTTGAAATTTCACTCGGCGGTGTTGGTCTTTCCTTTGACATCAGAAAGTGAGAGCTGTGTCCCAGAAAAGTGGTTACTTTTTGTCACCAGAGTGATTCTTACAACTACCTGTAGGAAGTTCTTACCCAACAACAGTGAAATGCTTTGTGTGTCTCAGACCCTCTCAGCACAGGTCACTTCTGTGGTCCTTAGTGAGAACAGCTCAGGGTTCACCATGCTTCTTTGTTAATTCTGCCACTACCTGTCCAGCAGAAGATGTTCCCACTTTCACTATTCCTTATCCCTTTGACTTCAGACGTTCACCAATGGGGCCTGGGGGACGAAGAAACACTTTCTGAGAATTCGTGGGAATTCCTGAATTTGTCTGTTAGTCTATGGTCTTTCTTTGTAACCCATGTTTTTGAAAGGAAATAAATGATCAAAACAATAGGCAAGGAATCCTGTAAGAGGGTTATATGAAAAGTCCTGGTGTTTTTGTTGTTATTGTCATTCTTAAAGAAGATATAATAACAAATATATAATTTACTATGTTATCATATTGAATACATCAAAAAACTTATAAAATCCAATAATATGTAAAAATATCTATGTCATCCAAACATAAGACAATACAAAACACTGAAAGAGAAACGAAACATTTGCACAATGAAAGTGTTAAATGAACATTAAGATGTGTCAGGGCCTGGAGAAATGACTCAGTGGTTAAGAGCACCAGCTGCTTTTCCAGAGGACCTGGATTTGATCCCCAGCACCCACAAAGCAGCTCACAAGCATCTGTAACCATGGTTCCAGGGGATCTGGGACCTTTTTGTGGTCTCTGCTGGCACTGGGCATGCAAATGGTACACAGACATACATGGAGGCAAAGCACCCGTAATATATATGTGTAAATACTTCCATACCCTTCTTAACTTCTCGAGGTGACTTTATTTTCAGAAGTAAGTCTCTCTTAGCAGCCAACAGGGCCATGGACACACAACCCCAGCTATCACCTAGGAGTGAACCCCTGTCTCCTGACCCGCCTGCCTCTGTCTGTGATTACAAGCATGCAGAACCATAGCTACATTCTGTTTTTCACCTGGCAGTTTTACATGCTGCCTTTCCTATAATCTGACAAGTTCCTAATTGGAATACAGATAAAAAATAATGTTTTAATGCTTCAGAAAAGAAAAAGGAAAGGAAGGAAGGAAGGAAGGAAGGAAGGAAGGAAGGAAGGAAGGAAGGAAGAAAGAAAGAAAGAAAGAAAGAAGAAGAAATCAGAATGATGTAATTGGGAGAGACCCGGAGGTGTCAAGTGTCTCGTGAAACACTCTTTGATCTGTTCATTGGCATTTTAGAAAAGGACATCATTGTTAAGTAAAAGTTGGAAGTTAAAGCAGGCTCTTTTCTGCCGTTTCCCATGTCTTCAACACACTAACACGCTCTACAGACCTGTGAGAATGGGATGGGGATGAAGGCTTTCGACATTTACTTACCCCAGGTTCTTACTGGGGCAGTAAGTGCAGGTCTTGCTGAGTGAGTGTGTGCTGTGTGTGAAGGGCGCTGTCTTGATAGCAAGGAAGTCTTGAGGAAGAAAGGGGACAGCAGCTGCTCCAGTTCCACACCAAGTCTTCTGGGTGGTGCTCCTCACTTGGGGCTCAGACAGAGAAGGCTGAGAGACATCTCTAGGCTGGGAGCCTCCAATTCATTGTGGCTCACCTTGAGGAGAAGCTCTGAGCTCAGCGTAGAGGAGTACCAGCCCCTGGAAGTAGGGTCAGGTCTTATCCCTGTCCACCTAGGACATGGGCGGAGGTGTCACCAGCTGTGGTCACAATGCTAGTCTGGCTCCTTTGCCCTCCTCTCCCACATGGTGCAGTAGATCTTAGACAAGACATCTGTCCCGTGTAGCTGAAGCTTTCTATGCTTTGATCTCTACCTCTCCACCCACTCTAGAACAGGTCCCGTTCCTTTCTGCTTAAGAAGTAGAGAGCAGGTCTTTGCAGGTTTCAGGTGAAAGCTCCATCACAGCTCAAGGATACTAATGAAGAGGAGAGGCAATAGGAGAATTTGAGCTGGCTGCTGAGGGGTGTCTTGGCTGTTTCATTGACTTCACAAAAGATTCTCTTTTCCTCATCCATAGGATGGGCCAGTATGAATGTCATCCCTATTCCTTTTGGTTGTTTTTAGCCTCGGGGGTGGGGTGGAGTAGATACAAAGCTTTAGGTTGTGTGCAAATGACTACTGAGTTATGTCACTAAAATCCAACACTATGCACCCCGGGAAACAAGTCAACTGTACTCCCAGAAAGTGGCTAATATTTTGGAAAGGAGAGCGGTGGCTAAGGCTGGCCTTGACTCTGTCGTCTCCACCGCCCATGTTCTGGGATTACAGCTGTGCTGCCAAGCTCAGGCTTTTTCTCTCTTTAATTCCCTCCTTCTTCACTCTTCTCTGTAGGAAGATTTTCCTGGTTTGGGGTTTGAGGTGGATTTTATGGAGAGAAGGCAAAACCCCTAGGCCCTGCAGAATGCAAGAAGTCAGGCAAAAATGCTTAGCAGAGTAGGTTGTAGCTCACTTCTGTTGCAGTTGGCTTTGCTCATCCGTTTCTGGTAGACATAACATGCGCTTTAATCTCCCATTGAAGGCGCTTTATCCAGAGGAAAGTTCAACAGTGTGGACAGATGTGGTGAGAAGGGAGCACGTTTTCAAGCAGATGTGTAGGAAGGACAAACAAGACAAGAGTAAGAAAATCATGTGTTTGCTGCAATTACAACAATGAAAAAAAGAAAAGAAAAAAAAAAAGCTCCCATCCTGAGAAATGCTACCAAAGTGGATGCCGGGGTAGGTCCCAGAGACTGAAGGGCCTGACAGGGTGTGATTCCTCACAACAAATGTTCCTGCTGAGTGCACACACACACACACACACACACACACACACACACACACACACACACACACACACACACGGTGCCCAGCCTCCAGTTTCACCTCTGGCAGAGCCTAACAATTCTCGGCTCTCCTTTCCAGGGTTATTTTTGGCTAGGACTGTTCTCTGAAGGCAGAAGGTCTTAGCCCCCTCCCACCTCTCTCTCTGTCCTTACTAGGGAGAGAAACTTGTGCTGGAGCTAAGCTGACTCCCAGGGTGTGGGGAGCGAGGGCTGCCAGCAGGAGAGGACCCGGGCTAGCTCAGACTCCAGTCCTAGGCTATCTTCTAGTGCAGCGTGTGCTCGGGAGCAGCTGGAAGGCTGAGTCCCGGCGCCGGACCGAAGGTGTAGTTGGGGACGCAGTAGCTGGCCCTGGAGTCTGGCTTTTGGGACACTCGGAAAGTCAGGCCAGCTGGGGGAAAGAAACCGAGGACAGCTGAGCGATCATCTGGGAAGAAGCTGGGCCGGGGAAAACTTTATCTGAAGGTGGAGGCAGACTCCACTCTGGGGCGTCTGAGGGGACCCGCAGGGAGCAGCGGCGGGAGGGCGGGGAGGGGCGGGGAGGGCGCGAGGCGGAGCCGGGAGCCGGGCCAGGCCGCGGGGGCCCGGGCGGGCGGCAGATCCCCGAGGCTCCCGCAGCCGCGGCAGGACCGGCCAGCGGCGCCATGGAGGGGAGCCCCATCCCGGTGCTGACGGTGCCCACGGCGCCCTACGAGGACCAGCGGCCGGCCGGCGGGGGCGGGCTGCGGCGGCCCACAGGGCTCTTCGAGGGGCAGCGCAACTACCTGCCCAACTTCATCCAGAGCGTGCTGTCGTCCATCGACCTGCGCGACCGCCAGGGTTGCACCATGGTGGTGGGCAGCGACGGCAGGTACTTCAGCAGGACGGCCACCGAGATCGTGGTGCAGATGGCTGCGGCCAATGGGGTGAGTGACTCTCACGCCCGGTGTGCGGGTCCCCGCGCCCCGGCCACCTCCCTAGTGTTCTCTTCAGCGTCCCACACCAGCGCACTGGCAGCCACTAGGCACACTTGAGGCACTGGCCTTGAAGGGGGCTGTTCTTCTCAAAACCCTGGGTCTGGAACCTTAGATTTCTCCAGCACCTGTTCCACTTTCTTCTGTATTCACTTCCACATCCATTTTCCACTCCATCCCACCTCTGGGTTTCCCACATTCTCCAAACTGGTTTGTTGCCGACCTCCCCACACAGACTTTTTTTTTTTTTTTTGAGTCTGCCAACATGATTTCCCACCCCGGTGTCCTTTATTATTATTATTATTATTATTATTATTATTATTATTATTATTATTATTATTATTATTATATTATTATTATTAATTTTGCCACTATCCTCTCTCTTCCAAATCTTAGCTGTCAAACTTAATAATAAACTGCACGCACACACCAATATTGAGCCGGTGAGCTATTTGCCAAGAGCGGGCCCCGGCGAATCGCTTTAGCCCAGGAGTCCCTTAGTGACTACTTTGATTGGGACAAGGATGAGGTGGACGGCTTTAGGGGCATTGCAGCCTGGCCTCTCAGTTCCCAGGAGGCACATCTCCAAAGGCTATCACAATTCCCAACTTCCCTCCGAGATGCTCTGGGCATTTGACAAGCCAGGCCTCCTCCTCCTCATCTACATCTTTGTTTCGTCTCCCTCCTCCCAAGACCTCTGCAGTTTTCTACTGTAACTTGATTTTTCAGACTTTGAGTTCCTTGCCTTCTGAGCCCTCTTCCTTACCCTACAGACAGAAGCATGTTCTGGTAAATCCACCCTGCTCTCCCCTCTTTGCTTCCCTCACCCCCAGATCTAGCCAAAACTAGTGACTGCCAAACTTTAGGGGTCTCTGAATTATCTGTAGGAAACATGGTTGAAAATGTTATCTGAGCCTGATTCAGGACCAGATTCACACCAACGAAACTTTCCCCGAAGTGAAATCTCTTGCAGATGTACAGACGTAAACAACTTTAAAAGTGAAACTAGATAATTACCTGTCGTGTGGATTCTGGCCATCCCACACTTGTGTCTTTGCTCATTTCATAGTGTTTCTTCTTAAAGGGATGCCTGTGCTTCACGTTTCCTACCACGATCTTTTCCTTCTCACCATTTTAGGAATGAAATAGGGAAGAAAAGATGTTTTGTGAGATTTTTGTTGTTGTTGCTTTTTTTTTTTTTTTTTTTTTTATGTCCAGAAAATGTTTTTTGGGGGAAATGGGACCAGAGGTTTTGGAGTGGATTCCAGACTGGCATTTATCTCTGGCTCTTCAGCTGGGATTGATGAATGTTGGCTGGAGTCTGAGGTTGGTGAGAGGTTGACAAATGCTCATTCTCTCTTGTCTGACAAAGCTATTCCTGGGAATGATGGGAGGATAATGAGCCCCAGGAGAGCTGGGACAGCATCCACCCTGCTCCGTGCTCTAGTTTGTCAGGGGGCAAGAGAAACATAGCCTATCCAGTATTTATTGTGGGTCAGAATATTGGTGGGAGATAGTTGTTGATTTGCATTTCAAGCAGTGACTTGGACCAGTCATCTCCTCTTCATTTTTCTTCATCTTCTGGGAGACTTGTTCTGAAGGGAAGAGTCAGATGGTTGGCTCTAGAAGAAATATAGTTTGGCAGGACTGGAAAACAATGAGCTGTATAGGTCCTTGCGTGATGAACATGGATGGGAACTTACTTGCCTTTTTTTAAAAAATATTTTTATTTTATAATTGATTTAATTTTACATATCAGTCACAGATTCCCCTGTCCTCCCTCCTCCCATCTCCCAGCCTTCCCCCCCAGTCCACCCCCCCATTCCCGCCTCCTCCAAGGCAATACTTGCCTTTTAACCTGCATGCTGTGTTAGGCTGAGGGGTGACCAACCTGGATTCCTAAAGCCTTTAAATAGATTCCTGACTGGACATTCATAAACAGGATACAAAAATAACATAAATTAGAGTTTATTCTTTCTGAATGGGAAAATCTGATTGTCAAGTGGTTTGCCATTTCTCCATCTGAAAAAGTGTGGGTTTGATTGAAAAGTTAATGTGGTGATTTGAATAAGAGTGGGCCCCTATAGGCTCATATATTTGAATGCTTTAGTCATCAGGGAGTGGCACTATTTGAGAAGGATTAGAAGGTGTGGCCTTGTTGGAGTAGGTGTGGTCTTGTTGGAGGAAGTGAGTCACTGGGGGTGGGTTTTGAGGTTCAGAAGTCTAGTCTAGGTCCAGTTTCTTTCTCCCTGCTCCCTGTGGATTAGGATGTAGAACTCTCACTACTTTTCCAGGGCCATGTCTGCCTGTACACCTCCATGCTCCCCATCATGCTGATAATAGACTAAGCCTCTGAAACTGTAAACAAGTCCCAATTAAAGGCTTTCTTTTATAAGAGTTGCTGTGATCATGGTGTCTCTTCACAGCCATAGAACGTTGACCATGACAGTCAATTTTACAAGGAAATTTCCTGAGAAAAGCTGTACTCGGTATTTGGTAATAATTGCTGGGAGAGAACAGAACGATGAGATTTCTAAATGGTGAACATATTACACATATTTTACAAGTTCGTCAGGCTTCAAACTGGAGTCTTTCATGCTAGTAAAGTGTGTAACTTGGAATTTGAACATTTCTTGGATAAAATTATGAGTATGGATCCAGAAAGATGGCTCAGAAGTAAAGGTTCTTGCCTCTAAACCTGATAATTTGAGTTTGATTTCTGGAACCCATGTGGCAGGAGAGAACTGACTCCTACCAATTGTCCTCTGACTTCCACATGTGCATTGTGATATATGTGTGTGCGCACATGTGTGCATGTGCGTACACACATATATAATAAGTAAGGGTAAAAAGTTAAAAGTTATGGTTGGCATAGTGTATACCTACACTCTCACAATCCACACCACATACACATACATATCTACACAAAAACAAAAAACTAAAAATATTTTAAAATTATGAAAATTTCCAGTTTTCAGAAAAGTCAAGATAGGATTTATTGACAGCCATAGGGCCATTTTATGTTTGTGCCATTCTTTGTGGCTTAAATATTTTAAATTTTCTTAATAAAAATAACATTTGTCCATAAATTCTTCAGTATAGTGCTCTTAAAAAAATAAGGACCCTTCCCCACATAGTTATAATTCTACATTTGGGTTCACTCAGTTGTTTTGAAATTCTTTTATGGGTGATTTATTCAAGACAAGTTCTCCTAATCAAGAAATAAACATTGCATTTGGAAATTTAGGTCAATTTTTAATACAAAATACTCTCTCCTGTCTGTCTGTCTGTGCATCTGTCTATGAAGCTGATTTATCAAAGAATCAGACCAGTTGTCTTGCAGACTCTTTCTTCTGGGCCTTTCGAATGTATTTTTATGGCACCATTCCACTTCTCATTCTACCCCTTGCTTTTCTTGTTGACTAGAAATGGGTTCTGAAGACCTGTCTCAGTCCATTTACATTGCTGTAACAAAATGCCACGAACTGTAGCTTACCCAACAGAAACTCATTTCAAAGCAGTTCCAGAGGCTGTAAGCCCAAGGTCAGGGCTCTGGTTATTTTGTGTTGTGAATTTTGGGGGATATAAGCATTCAGTCCTTTAACAAAGCCCAATCGACTCAGTTTTGACTTATTTTTTGGTAAGAGTATTTCAAAGCCTGGTGTGGCTGTGCCTCTGGTGCCATCACTTGGGAGGTTGATAGGAGGATTATGAGTTTGATGTCCATTTGGGGAACAAAAAAGCAAGAAAAATCATAGTAATTCAGTATATTCATTTTTCCAGACTTTAGATTTTTCTTCTGTTCCTTCTTCCCTCTCCTACAGGTGGGATCACCTCTTGGTGTATCTATTCAGTCTCCCCACTCTCCTCCCTCACCTCAATCCAGCCGCACATCAAGTGCACTAATCAGCACTCAAGGGGCTCTGAATTAGCTGGGTCTTGTGAAGTACAAGCTGTACGGTCTCTGCATCAGTGACAGCAGAAGGGCTGCAGAATCCTGGCAGTCACCGTTTCCATGCCCCACCGTTTCTTCCTTGGTTCTAGTCAGCTGTGGGCTCAACTTCCTACTATGTGCATGTTCGGTCTCTGATCAACATTTACTCAGTGGCTTAAAATCCACCAATGATCATCTCTTAAACTAGTTCATTGGAGGTTTCAAAATAGTGTTAGCTGGCATGGTGTGTGTGTGTGTGTGTGTGTGTGTGTGTGTGTGTGTGTGTGAGAGAGAGAGAGAGAGAGAGAGAGAGAGAGAGAGAGAGAGAGAGAGATATACCATAGCACGTGTTAGGTCAGAGGACAGCTTTTGGGAGCTGGTTCTCTCCTGCCATGTGGGTCCTGGCGATGGAATTCAGCTTCTCAGGCTTGGCAGTGGATGCCTTTACCTGTTCAGCCATTTCCTCAGCCCTGTGCCTTGCTTTTTACATGGGTCCTGGGGTTGAACTCAGGCATTCCTGCTCGCAATGCAAGCGCTTTACTTGCGTCATCGTCCCAGCCTTTGGGGACATTCTTTTATGAACTGGACATTGTCCTTACAACTGGGCTACTTAGTTAGTCCTCCTGGAAAGAAGACACCCTGTTCTTTCTTTTCACACTGCCAACTTTGGAGTAGGCATTTGAGAAAAAAAAGCCATCTCCACAACTGAACTTTATGACAATGGAATCTGTTTCACTTTTGGCTTTTGGCAATGTTCCAGGAATACTTGGATTTTTATGCATTCAATTTCAGTGGATTAGTGAATAAATAAGAAGATACTTTTAGCTTTCCAACTTCTACTCAGTGCTGGGGGAACTCAGGCTTTTGGAAATGCTGGGCAAGTGTTCTACTGCTCACCAATAACCGCAGCTCTCTCATTTTTTTAATTATAGTTTCTATGTTGTTATATAAACTTACCTAAAACCTCCTGAGAAAAATTTTATTTTATTTTTTTAAAGACACAAACCATGCTGGGTGG